CTTAGGAACTGACTATTGAGAGCTTATATACCAGAATTGATAAAACCCCATTTTCCTTTGCATTTAAAAATGAAAGATCTTTTGAGAATTGTTGCCGCCCATTATTAAAAGAATTAGAAACCCCACTCCAAAAAACATTTCTTATAAATATAAGAGAAGGTGAACAATCAAAGGGGACAACCAAAAAAATCAATCAAAGACAAAAACTCAAAATGATCACTTGATCTTAAAGAACTTTCAAACAAATTGAAGCAATCAAAAGCTCATTGAGCCACAAGAAAGAAGCTAGATACAAATCAAAACTTCCAGTTTCAGACTTAGAGAAAAAGTCATTCAAAACGAGGTTTCTCTCGTTACAAATTTGGTTCAGCAAAAGTCAAATCAAGCAGAGTCTGGGTTTTTACAAATATGAAAACCTCAACAAATTTATCAAGAGCCCTGATCAAGCAGAACAGGTACCATAGTGTAGTTCCAGCTCAGTGATCCTCAAATCCAGCCACTTCTGCCCCTTTCAGACAGAAGAAGCCGCAATTCTGCCTATTCAAAAGCCTTCCAGGGCTTGAAATAGATTAAAGCTCTGTCAAACTCGAACATTGGCATCGATTCACAGCTGAAGCTTAGCAGGTGAAGTTGTTGACAGTCCAGTCCAGCACAGACATACCCAGTCCAGCCCGAATCAGAAGCTTCCATCCATGCATAAATGGAAGTCCAGCCTTCTTTTTGTCTTTCTAGAGTTGGTTTTTTTCTTTTAAGTTTTGTAAAAGGGAGTTCTGCCTGAAAACAGTTTACTTTCTTATCATTTATTATGGCCAGAACTACCAACCTTGTATTGTGAAAACTTGTGAAGTCCTCACCAGTCTGAGGCAAGAAAAGAACTTACTTGAGAGATATTCCTCACCCAAATTCACAACCGCTTGTTTAGAAATCAGTAGCTTGGGGCGCAAGTTATCTATTTTAAAGTATGCTAGGATTTTTTCATTGCTAGCAGTGGCACGCTCGCACACTAAAGAAAGTTGACTTGTTGACCAGTCAATGGTTCTCAAGGCAATGAGGAACTTTACCCTACCATAACAGGAACAAATATCAATCAGGTGAACAACTAGTGTAACACCCCGACTCCAATTATTTCCTATTTTAATTAAATTAAGAGAAATTATGAATTTACCCTTGGGTTAAGAGTAATTTTGGTCATTTTCTTATCCGGGAAGATTTTGGGACCACGAGTGGTTTGGTTGCGTAGGTGGTACCGAGACGAAATCGTAGACATGCAGTAGGCTTGAATCGGAATTGTAACGAAGTTTTGGCGATAAAATTAAGTTCGATGGCGGAACCGTAATTATTTCAAAAAGTTTGAGTAAAAATCAGATTTTCAGTTTTTACCCCTCACTCTCTCTCTCTCCTCCCGCGCGCACAACCCTCTCTCTCTCTCTCTCTCCTCCGTTTCTCTCTCCCCAACATCGGCTCTCTTTCTCTTTGGTTCTCTCAGCACCGGCCACAGCTGGACGTGAGACCGATCCCGTTCGCTTCGTCTTGATGCCCCGGTCAAGACCCACCAGTTTTCCCCGCCGGAAAACTCGATTCCAGCCGACGGTAGAGACTGGTTCAAACCGGATTTTTCACGGCGTTGCGCCGTCGTCTCTGCCGTCCAATCCCGGTGAAACAAGTGGGCTTTCTCCCTCATTTTATCTGCTATAGCTACCTGTTGTGTAGGATTGGATTAATTTCTTGCATAGAATCCCGATTTTGAAACCTAGGTTTTGGCTGAATTTCGGGTGGAAATTCCGGCCACTTGCCGTCCGAATTGGACGTTGCTGTAGTTGAATAAGTTGCTCCTTTCGTCGAGTAGTATCTAGGATTGGAAGGGTGGCTCGTGATTTGGAGATTTTCCGTCGCCGGAAATTTCTCTACACACCCACGCGCTGCCGGCGCGTGTGGCGGCGCGTGGGCAAGGTAGGTGAAGTTTCTTTCTATCTTGATGAGATCCTTAGGTTGTCACGAGTGCGTAGGATTTTACGGATCTCAATTTGGATGTCGTTTGACTATCGAACGAATTTCGCATATTGTGCGTTATCCAGGTTCGATAAGTTCTAACCGTCGGATCGTTTCCAAACTGAAGTATGTTGATCTAGGTACTCTTAGAAACCTATAGGAATTCGCGGATCAAGAATCAGAGCCCCGGATGTTCCGATTCAATAATTCGAAGTTTGGGAATTAGCGATAACCGTACGATTGGAAGCGATTCCCAAACCTGTAACCGGACCTTAGGATATTCCATTGGACGTACACGCACCGGGAACTTGGGGATTTAAGTATTTCCTTTTGTGAATTTCTGTTTTGAAGTGCGTTATATTAATCAAGAGTTCGTATCTCGAAATAGGTACTTCGGTCGAACATTCGCAGCCGGCAGGACCCTCTCGGGGCCGGGCAGCTTGGGATTATCTGTGAGTGGACTTTGTTTTAAGCATATGCATGGTTTTATTGATAAAAGATTTGTGCATATATTTTAAATGGTGATTTTGATTTAATAATTATTTGGTTGATGAATTTGAATATTCTTATGCGTATTGGCAATATATTTTGAATATGGATATATTCGAGTATGAGGAATATGTTATATGAATTTTGGGATGTCTATCTATATTGCCTATGTATAGAGTATGAGAGGTTGTTGTGGTGAGATTGTGGAAAGAGATGAGTTTGAGGGATGGTTGTGAGATGTATGAGTATGTTAGGTGAGTACCATTCCCTAGTTACTAGGCTTCCCACACACGTCGTTGGCAGTGCCGGTGGGGTGAGAAGGCCATGAAATTGCGGGTCTCACACATGTTGTTGGCAGTGCCGGTGTGTGAGACACTTCCCATATGTGTCGTTGGCAGTGCCAGCGTATGGGAAGAGTATGTATATTGCTTAGTATTATCACACACGTCGTTGGCGGTGAGGTGATGATACTATCTCCGCGCGTAGGACTTGTTATGAGATTTGTGAGCTACACGTGTCGTTGGCAGTGTCGGCGTGTGAGCTATGGAGTTCCGTCCCTCGGTTGGACTACTCATCCCTGGACGCGGGTTAGTGCTCGGAAATCCTGCGTACTAGCCAAACAATCCCCCGGTTGGATTGTTTCAGATTATGAGAGCTATTGGACTTTGGGATAATGTGTTTTGAGTATTTGGTTTATGAATTGTGAAACTGCATGCTAGAGCATTATTTTTACACGGTGGGGTTATTATGTTGTTTTAAAATGCAAACTTTATTTTTGTCCACTCACATATTTTTGTTTTGCCCCCCCAGGCAGTAGTTGCTCTTAGAAGTGTTCGAGCAAGTTGCGAGCTCAAAACGTTCCATCCGTAGATAGAACTTGTGTAAATTCCTTCTACTCAACTGTTTGTTGTAAACAAATTCTGTTAGATGCTCTGTTATCGCCCATGTTAGGTTGTTACTTGAGGCCGGAGGCCACTTTATTTTGGATTGTTGTATGTTGAAAGCATGCTGGCAGTTGAGATTTATATTATGTAAATTATGCAGGTTGAATGTTGTTGGGTTTGAGCATTTTACAGGGGAGGCTCTGCTAAAATTTTGATAGGATGTCTCGAGTTTTTAGTAAGTGGGCCCGGCATCGGTGTGATGTCGGCACCAAGACGGGGTCCGCCCCGGTTTCAGGGGAAATTCTGGGGCGGGTCCTGTCAACTAAAGGCACCAACTTAAATACCAACTTTTAAATATCAACTTATGTGAAATGCAAGATGGCAGTACATGTCATTTTAGCTATAGAATTTTTACCAGGAGAATAGTTTTGCCCTTCCCATTTACCACTCAGAATTGGTCCACCGTCCATCCTGCATTGAATGAGAACAATCGACCCTCTCCATGCCCACAACAACATCGTCCCTCAACGGAGAGGGCAAAATGTATTGAATTGAACTACAAACGTAAACATTGAACTTATTATTTGGTTTCACAAGTCATATGATGAAATTTTCATGGGCCCTCAACATAAATTTGGATCTAAACCAGAAAAGCTATGAAGGCATTTCCGATGATTGCAGCAAGTCTGCAGTATACCCACATGGACATGGATCTCTTCAATCATCAATATTTAGACAACCCAGAAACTGGTCCCATTGAAGAACAAATTAAAACCAATTTCCAGAGGAAGGTTACATAACATTCTGGCCTGGGAAGAGCAAATCAAGACGGCATAAGCCATTTGAATAACAAAATCAAATGAGATTTACCAATATGACGGTGTTATTGTGACGGTGGAGGAGACGATGTTATGAAAAAGGTGTTGCTATGTCCGGACAATGTCGGGGACGGCGACATCGTTGGAGACAGAGGTCCAGTTATGTGGTTAATGGAATGGTAAATTCTTAAGCCCAAAAAAAAATATATATATAGGCGTGGCAGTTGACATGTATTGCCACATTAATACGCCATGGTAACTAAAAATTGGGATTTGAGTTGGTGCCTGTATAGCTATTGTTAATAATAGTCATAAAATATTAAATGAAAACAATTAATGTATGAATAATATCTAATTTGGAATCTACCTTCTCTTTTTATGTATATTTATATATATAGATAAAAAAAAGAAAAGAAAAAAGAATGAATAAATTTGACTGGTGAGAAATGTTCTGCAATGTGCCAAATTACGACGTAACTCATTCTATTCAAATTTGAGTTTTGCATTTGACGTTCCCAAGTCTTCGGCTTGTTTCCAAGTGGTTTTGGGTTCAAAAACCCATGTACCTCTGTGTGTGTGTGAATTTTACCCCATTTTCTTCCTAATTTTGGTATTTAAAAAAAAAAAATTAAGAAAAAGAAGAAGACCAGCAATTTTCGTTCAAACGGACTCAAAGGCCCAAAACTTCATTCACACGAAGGCCCAAAGCTTCGTCTATTCTGGTGGTATTAGAAAGAACTTCCAACAAAATTTCTTTGGTAAAGCAAAAGGTGAACAAAATAAAGAGGAAGCTGCCGCTTATCAGGTCTTACCCTAGACCATGGAAACCAGAGCTGCAAAGAAGAGAAGGCTGATAGAGGAAGAAAACAAACGCAATATTGGAGGAGGCAGGGACAGGTTGAGCGATCTCCCAGATGATATAGCGCACCGCCTACTCTCCTTCTTACCTACCAAATCCGTTGCAAGAACGAGTGTTTTATCTAAAAGGTGGAGATATTTATGGGCTTGTTTTCCTATCCTCAACTTCTCCCAGGTTTATGATCCTTGGATGACAGACATTATAGCAACTGAGGATATAATATCTGCAGTACTGTCTCGCCGCCATGAAAACTCTAATATAAAGTTTTTTGGTTTTAAGGGTTATCTGAAAGCTCAATGGTTGCATGATTGGATTCCTTGGCTGGTGAAGCATAAGGTTGAAGAACTTGTGCTCCATATCTTGTCCGGTACTGGCATGGTTGATTTTCCTCGTCCCTTATTGCAGTGTGATTCACTGAGGAGTTTCACATTGGAAGGCAAATGCCCTTTCCTTCGGTTTTCATCTTCTTATGTTAAGGCCACCAGCGGTCTCCCCAACCTTCACACTTTGTCTCTAACTGGCGTGGAATTCTCGGAAGATGATTTATTTTCGGATTCTTCATTCCCTTTCCTTGAGAAATTGACTATAGACGATTGTGTTGGAATAATTCATCTCAAAATATGTTGCCTGAAGGTCAAAGATCTACAAATTTACAGAATCAGGAGGATGAATAGCCTGGACATATCTGGAATGAGTCTAGAGACTTTGAAAATCAACAATTGCTTCAAAGATATGCGTGTCAATGAATCTTGTGTCAATGTTTTTGCTCCCAATCTACAAAGTTTTTGTTGGGTAGGTAGCAACTTTGCTGTGAAATTTTTGATTCAGAGCTTTCCGATCCTCCGGACAGCTCAAATAAATTATCACTTCCCATTCACTAGAATAAAGACTCAGTGTGCTGTCAATCTTTTTTCCGCATTCTCCCAAGTTCAAAACCTTAGTCTATACCATCAGATCTTTAAGGTGAGTTTAGCTTTCTGTTTTCTTTAACTACTTGTTTGGAGAAACAATAATTTCAATTTTTTTTAAAGATCAATATGTGGTAAAATATATTTTTATGCTGCTTACTTATGTGTGCAGATTTTATCAAATATATATTTTGAACTCGGAGGTCTACCATGTTCATTCAAGAACCTCAAGACCTTATATATTAGTACCAGTTTGAGCAAATCTGATATCCCAGGTATAGCATGCTTATTCAAGAGCTCCCCGGTTGTCCACAAACTCGGAATTCGGATATACTCTTCTCGTGGACCAGACAGTGATGTAAGTTTTGGCATATTTCTTATTTTATGTTCTTCAAACTTCTTAACTAGTACCTACGAATATTTACTTTATATATATATATATATATATATATATATATATGTGTATAAAGGAACAAGTTAGCCTAGGTGTCCATTTCACGACAAGTAAAAAGAGTGCCAGACGAGATGTGTTGAAACGTCTAACTCAAGTGGTCGGCCATTAAAACAATCGACTAATTAGGTGAGGGCAGAGGGGAATAGCATGTGGCCTTAGAGTCTCCATAGTGATATGTTTTTAAGTAACATATATATATATATATATATATATATTTGTTCAATGGCCGCTACACTGAAGAGCAATTCTGGGAAGCTCAAGCTCAAACTCTGAATCCCCTCCTATGTCACCTAGAGGTAGTGAAAATTTGGGTTCCCAGCAGAGACATTGACCATGAGCGTGCGATTAATATGGTAAGGTTCTTGCTTGAACATGGAAAGAACTTGCAAGAAATGATTATTGCTCCGGAATATCCCCAAGCCTACTGTGTACCTGGTTGGAAGAATAAAATTATTGTTGTAATAGAGGGACTTCCTCGGGGATCGGCTAATGTCAAAATCTCGTGCGTAAAATGCTGATTAGGTTTTGAAGTAATGTATGCACCACTATCTTTTTGCTTTACTCTCAGAAGAGAGAGAAGTTAAACGAACCAACTTATCTCAAGCGATGCACATTCGATATTTTCCTTTTACAATATACTTGCAAGTTGTAGGATTGTTAAAACTAAAATAGGTTGCTGGCTTTATCTAAAAAGTGGAGAGCAATTCTGGGAAGCTCAAGCTCAAAGTCTGAGTCCCTTCCTATGTCACCTAAAGGTGGTGAAAATTCAGAATCTCAAAGATATGAAGCATGAGGGTGTGATTAACATCGCAAGGTTTCTGCTGGAACATGGAAGGGACTTGCAAGAAATGATTTTTGTTCTACAAAAATACAAAGACTACTATATTCCAGTTGATATAACGGCTGCTTGGACGAAGGATGACATTGGTAATAGAGGGACTCCCTCAGGGATCAACTAATGTCAAATTCTCATGTACTTAATCGCTAATTAGGTTATCTCAAGCTGCCAAATCTCAAACAAGGAAGGCGATGCAATTTTGGTTTTCCCTTTACAATAATTGCAAGTAGTACATTTTTCAAACTAAAGTTGGGAATGTTTCTGGTTTGTGTTGCAAAGGGGCTGAATCATTCTTGTTGTGTAAGAAAAGTATTAACTTCCAACAACATAGAGGAAATTTGACAATGATGTTATGAATTCATAAAATCAGGCGTTCAGATTGTAGAATTTTCGCTCAAACATTGTTCAAACTCCACTCTTTTATTCAAAGTCTCGTGGTATTCAAATTTGACGTTTCCTTTTGGAGATGCTAACGCTAACTCTTAAAGTTGAGAGATCAAATCCAACGGAAATTTATTCAGAATCCATTTTGAAGTATGCAGTTCATGTTATAAGATCTGGTATGTTTTGTTTGGTTAATAACCATTTAAAAAAAAAAAAAATGGTTACAAAGGGACCCAAAAGGCCCAAAACTATAGTTACACGCCGAAGGCCCCAAACTTCGTTCATTCTTGCTGACTTCCAATAAAATTTCTTTGGTAAAGCAAGGGGTAAATAAAATAAAGAAGAAGTTGCCGTCTCTTTATGGGGTTGCCCTAAGCCATGGAAACCAGAGCTGCAAAGAAAAGAAGGCTGATTGAGGAAGAAAACAAACCCAACGGACGAGGCAGGGACAGGTTGAGCGATCTTCCAGATGATATAGCGCACCACATACTCTCCTTCTTACCTACCAAATCTATTGCAAGAACAAGTGCTTTATCTCAAAAATGGAGATATTCTTTTCCTATCCTCGACTTCTACGAGCTTTCTCATGGTTGGATGATTAAGGAGTCTAAGGCGAGAGAAGATTATGATGAACAAGTTAAAAGAATATTATCTTCAGTATTGTCTCATCGCCATGAAAACTCTAATATAAAGTTTTTCGTTTGGAGGGTTATCTGAAAACTCAATGGTTTCATGATTGGATCCCTTTGCTGGTGAAGCACAGGGTTCAAGAACTTGTTCTCCATATTTGGTTCAGTCCCCACGCGTTTGATTTGCCTTCCGTATTGGAGTGTGATTCACTGAGGAGTCTCACAATGACAGGCAGTTTTAGATATGAACCCAGAACTCCAAGAAATCTGTACCGGTGGCAGCATCCGTTTTGGTTTTCTTATGTTAAGGGTACCAGCGGTCTCCGCAAGCTTCACAATTTGTCTCTAACTGGCGTGGATTTCTCGGATGGTGATTTATTTTCGGATTCTTCATTCCCTTTCCTTGAGAAATTGACTATACGCTCTTGTGTTGGAAAGCCTCATCTCGAAATTTGTTGTCCAAACCTTAAAGATCTACAAGTTTTCAGTGTCAGCCAGTTGAATAGCGTGGACATATCAGGAATGAGACTAGAGACTTTGAAATTCACCCAGTGTTTCGGAGAATGCTGTGTTAACATTTTTGCTCCCAATCTACAAACTTTTTATTGGGCATGTAACTACTTTTCTGGGAAATGTTTGATCCAGAGCTTTCTGATCCTCCGGAAAGCTGACATGTATTATCCGCTCACTGTCAAAGGAATTAAGATTCATAGTACAGTGCACATATTTACATGTCTTTTATATATGTTGTAGAGATGATCTTTGAGTGAATATCTACAAAATAGACAGTTTGAATTAGTGAAATACAATGCAAAGTAGGGGTGTCCCTTAAATATTATTTGAGGGGTCTCTCAATGAAAGCTCTCTGTACATATATATCTCTGCCTCACAAACATATTAATTGTAAATTGTAATTCAGAAATGGAACAACAATTTGTTGGACAATGGCCGCTACACTGAAGAGCAATTCTGGGAGGCTCAAGCTCAAACTCCGAGTCCCTTCCTATGCCACCTGAAGGTGGTGAAGATTAGGGTTTTCCGAAAGATTGGGCATGAGGGTGTGATTAGCATAGCAAGGTTCTTGCTTGAACATGGAAAGAACTTGCAGGAAATGATTATTATTACTCCGAAGTAATACGAAGCCTCTGATGTAGCAGCTTGGAAGGATAAGATTGGTATAATAGAGGGACTCTCTCGGGATCAACTGATGTCAAAACCTCATACTTAACTGCTGATATGTAGTTTTGATGTTCTGTGTATGTTGCTTAATATCGTTTTGCTTACTCTCAGAAGAGAAACTCTGAAGAGCAGTTAAATGAACCAATTTATCTCAAGCTCTAAGAAATCTCAAACCAGGAAAACGATGCGTATGTGGTATTTCCTTTTACAATACTTGCAAGGTGTAGATTTTTAAAACTAAAATGAGTTGCTCCTAAATTGTTGGGTGAAGGCCCTTCCTTCCCCATCTTATTATCTATTCATAAAAATTGCATGACTGCTGGAATGTTTCTCGTTTGTGTTGCAAAGGGCCGAAATTACAAAAACTTCAACATTCATATTTTGTAAGAAAATTAACTTTCAGCAATAGAGAGGGAATGCGGCAAAGATATTATCAATTATAAATTTTGGAAAGGTTTCTTTTAGTTTTTATTTTTTATAATACAAGTGATAGTCTAAATTATAAAGGAAAGGCCCGTTTGACTTCACAGATGGTCAAACCCACTCTGATAACATGAAGGAAGTTGAGGGCCCGTTTGGTATCCTACTCAAAAACTATGATTCTTTTTTGAAAAAAAAAACATGAGTTTTCAAATACAAAATTTAAGATCTAAAAGCTTATTTGGTGTTGAACTTCATACCTATTTGTAAGATCTTAAAATTTGTTCAAATTAATTATTTTTAATTGAAAAAATACATAGAAGAAGTTGAGGATGTAACACCCCGACTCCAAATTTATCCCATGTTTTAATTAATTTGAGTGAAATTAAGAATTTACCCGTGGGATAGGGGTATTTTAGTCATTTTCTTATCTGGAAGGAATTTGGGAATTCCGATTGTACCGTTACGTAGAGCACGGCGAGATGAGTCCGTAGAGATGTAGTGGGCTTAAATCGGAGCTGTAACGAAGAAGTTACGGGCAAAACATCACCAGTGACAAAATCGTAAATATTTTGAAATGGGTTTTTGGTTAAAAGACGGAACTGCCCTCGTCTCTCTCTCTCTCCCGCGCGTCTTTCTCTCTCCCCGACGGCAGCTTCTCTCTCTCTCTCTTCGAAACTCCGGCCACCGTCCATGGCAGCGGACGAGACCGGCGCCAAAGGGATCGGCTCAGCCTCGCCGTCAAGACTTGGCCCTTCCCCGACATCGGCCGCCGCTCCAGTCGCCGGAAAATACAGGTTTTTGGCCGGTTTTCACTTGAAACTTCGCCGACTCGGTCTCCCTCCTCCGGCCACCGTTTCTGGTGATTGAGGTATGGATTCCTACCTATTTTTCATGATCTAGCTGATGGTTGGGTAGGATTGCATCAATTTTGAGTGTAGGTAGCTCGATTTACGAATTGGGTTTCTGCCGAATTTCGAGGGGAGATTCTGGCTACTTCCGGTCAGTTTTTGGGGTATGCCCAAGAACATAAGTGGCTCCAAATTAGGTGTATTACCTAGGGTAGGAGTCTTGGCTCTTGATTTGGAAGTTTTCCGGCGATGGGTATTGCTTTAGACACCCACGCGCTGCTGGCGCATGTGGCAGCGCGTGGGCACTGTAGCTGAGGGGCATTTTGTCGCACTATGATCCTCTCAATGTCACGAGTGCGTAGGTGTGCTCGGATCTTATTTTGGGTACAGTTAGAGTCCTGAACGGATATCGCATATCGCGTATTTTCCAGGTTCGCTAGGTTTGGACCTTTGGATGGTCCTGAAGTTATAATATGTTGATCTAGGTATTACCAGGATCGTGTAGGATTTGACGGATCGTAAAATGGAGTCCCGGATACTCCGAAAATGCCAACCATAGGGTTAAGGTTTTAGCGATCGTCCGATCGTGCGATCGTGAGCGATCCGACCGTCCGATCTAGACCAAACTTGCAGGACGTGTGTCCTAGACCTTGTAGAACCTATAGGAACTTTCAAATCATAATTTGGAGGTCGTGGGCCCCGCGGGCCTGTTTGACCAAGTTTGAGTAGTTTGACCCTAGGTTGACCGCTAAACTTTTGTTGTAGTTCTACCATCCCAGGAGGGTTAGAATGACTTTAGTGACAGGTCTTGAGCGTTGTTGAGTTAAATGGTTTATATGCGAATTTAGAATATTATTATATGATTTAAATTGTGAAATTATCAAATGCTATACCAGGGTTGAGGTTTATATAGGAGTAGAAATTATATATTATATATTTAATTGTGTGGATGTATAAAGGTAAATAAAGCGATCGAATGTTAGTTCACAGTGCTATACGCACTACCCCACGTATCCCCCCATATTGTGATTATGTTGAGGCCTTTAAACCCGTGCGGCTGGTGAGAATGTAGCCAGGCCCAAGTGAACAGTATGATGGCTGGTGAGAATGTAGCCAGGCCCAAGTGAACAGCGTGATGGCTGGTGAGAATGTAGCCAAGCCTAGTGTTGAGGTCGCACGCATCTTTGGATTAGCCGGCGTGTTGACAAACCCCATATGTGGCTGGGTGCGTCCCGACGTATGAGGGGAGATATGATTGTGTGAGGGCTGGTGAGAATGTAGCCAG